GAGTATAATACTTAACTTGAGTGGGTAGAAACTATTTTTATTTTTATATGAAATCAGATATAATTTATCGACTAAAACTATAGTTATTTTCTTCTAATAATAAAATACCAATTCTCTATAAAAAAAGATGAAAAAAGACCTTGATCATTTCCTCTATTTTCCATTTTCCACCAATAAAGAACAAATAATATAATAAATATATTTTTAAACCGTGTTGCATTAAAAAATATTTATATATATTACCTATGAATTATTTACAGTTATATTTTTATAATAATAGGAAATTTTAATTACAAATAAATACTTGCTTAAAGAAAAGGTATACTGTACAAATAAATAATTATTTTACTTTTTTTACATTCACAGTATAAAATTAACAACTAATAAAACGCACAACCTTATTCTCTCTTTAAAATACAGTGCAAAACACTAAAATACTGATGTCAGCTAAAATATTTTAATATTTGGAGAAAAGTTGAAATTCATTTTTTAATATGGAGGAATATTGATGGTAAAGGAAAATAGCATTTCATTTTTGTAGGAAAAAGGAATCACCCAATTTATCAATACACTCACATTTGGTTAATTAAAAAAAATTAGAATATTTTAGTGTAGGTCTTTCATTCAATGGAAAGATCATATGGAATTATGGAAATCGAAACTCAAATTATGTGAATTGTTTTATATTTATTATCATTCAAATGTTGATTATTAAAGCAATTACATATATTTTTTTAAACATGCTAATATTTTTTAAATTATATTTTCAATCCATAATTTATCAAAATGGAATTGATATTTTTTTTTATTAGGCCTACCATGATAGTACCTACGCTTCCATTTAATAAGTTATGTTTAACATAGTCAGAAATAACTTAACACATTGGTACATTTATAGTGGTATACATTTTCATCCATTCATTATTAGAATATTATTATCTATAGACTCGAAGTAATAATTGTTCAATGTATTTTGCACACATTCCTAACTTGAACAAACTGTCATGATCAGATTACGTTTGGAAGATTGTTTTAAATGGTATCAGCTGCATTTTGAATTTTCCGAGTATAAACATTGTGTATATTTTAACTCTACGATCCAACCTCGTTTTCGAAGTTTAATACCGTTAGTTTTTAGATATTCGTAATGTGATCACATTGTGTAAATGTTTATATAAATAGATAAAGAAACAAACGCAATAGTTAAAATATTATATAAATTCTTAATCAAAATGAATAAGCAAAATAATGTGTACCTACCAATTTAATTATTTTATTTTATTTTATTTTTAATGGACTTTTACGTTCTACATAAATATTATAATATTAAATTGTAAACTTGATGATATTTAAAATAAAAAAATAATAATTCATTATACATATTATTCCTATTATACGTACTATATTTTTCACTTATTATTTATTACCCGAGTTGAATTTTTTTAATTAATGAAACATAAAAATATTGCAAACACGTTTTTTACCAAAGATATAATTTAATAAATGAACTACTCAAATATTTAATAATAGTTTATTGAAATTTATATTATTAGTTAGGTACGTATTGTTCGAGCGCCGTGATATTTGAGCACGTTAGGTAAATAAAAACCTGCACAAAAATGTTGGTAAATATATTTCTATTTATAAATAGCTATTAGTTTTTATGAAAATTAAATTAAAATAGTTCAACAAAATTTTGAATAGGTATCTTTAAATAAATAATAATATAGCTATACATAAAAATACAACTATACTTATTTACGATTCTCTATTCAGAAAGTAATAAAATATTTTTTTTATAGTTAATTTTGTACAATCAACATTTATTCAGAAACATAATTATTATAATAATTTTATCATTGTTTTATAAAATGTACTTAAATTAAGTGTCTTTACCTATAATTATTCTATAATAAAAAAATATCTAATCCCCCAACATTTAGATTGAAAAAGTTGAAAAATTTAGTCCTTCTATGCATATTGCAACAGTATGCAGAGTGTTTGAGTAAAAGACAAATGAAATGAATATTTAAATAACTAAACTAGACGTTTTTTGTTAAAAAGTTTATTGTTATTACCTACTGATTTTTATATATTGAAATAAATAAATTAATAATTTAACTATATTGAATTAATATATAATATATAAATAAATATCAGTAGACATTCTCAATTAAAAGTTATCGATTTATGACTACAGAGGACTTAAGTCCATACAACGTAGAGTTATATTTCATGTCCATGATTTATTGGGCATAAATTACGTACTATTTTATAACTATAACAATACGTTGTTATTTACACGTTATAATATGATTTCTTTCAATCGGAAACAATTGATTTTCATCACCATTTATTATATTTCTTCGGCTCTTTATTATTATCGATAATATTATTGTAGCTGGTTTTGTTTATCTAAAACGTATACTGAATAGCCAAGAATATTATACTAATATTTACTATATTTTATTTATTACACTTTTCTACCCCTTAAAACACATCTGGTGAATTATAGGTACATCAGTATTTTTTTTCAATTAAAACTCTTCGTGTTGTTTTGTGCACACCGATAAAACAATAATTTATTAGGTTGTAGGTACCTTTCTACATTTGATGATCAAAATAATAATATATACTATATTCTATAATGCATGGCTTAGCCATTAAACTTTGCCATTTCTGAATGAGGTCGACGACACATTATATTATAAATTATTTAGATTATTATTCATCTATTTTGCATTATCGGCACATAATTATCGTATCATAGATCACCTATATGTTATATTCTGTGTCGATAAAATATTTATTAGCCAATCTGACCGCTTGTACTCGGCTTATTAATAATTGGATTATTTATTAACCTCTGCATTGTGTTAGTAATTGTATCCATAATTTTACGTATTTCATTTTCAATACGAAAACGATAACACAATAATATATGTTTCATAATAATTATATATTATGTTTTTCAAATTACAGTAAGAAATAAGAATAATCATTATACATTTTTGTTATAATACATCTAGGCTTTAAATTGGTATCTAGATGATTATAATTTATAATGATGTACATTAAATCAAAACGTAATTATACAAAATAATAATGTTCAATATGCGATTTAAATATCATATTAATGTTAAGATTTTTCTATGATTTCAACGTTTAGTAGGTTCGACAAAGAAGTGAGGAGCTTTTGCACGATGGTGTTAGTGAACATAGCGGTTTTCACAGAGATTCTAGCTCGAGAAACATAATTACTTCGCCACAATTATACATGTACCTACTGAGCATCGTGGGACAGTACGCAGATATGCATTTATATCATATTAATTTTGTATTAAGTATTAGTAAATGTACCTTCCGCCGATTAGGTTTAACCTATAACTTCCTATATAATATGACACGATGAGTACCTATCTAAATATATAATTCATGGAAAAACGATTGTTACCGGTTATAGCGTCGATGACGATTAAATTAATAATCACCTTTTAATCTGAGAGTTATGTCAAAACAATATTTATTCTGATTTAAATTAAAATTTTAATTTGTTTTTAAGCAAACAAATAATGGCTCGAAAATAGCTCAAGCACTGAAATTGAAGGGTAAAACTGAATACGATGACAAAAGTTATGCTACATACTACATGGGAATGACATTTGTAGTTTTGAATACTAAGTTCACTCCATCGTATGTAAGTCACGTTTAAACGATGTAGGTAGGTAGTTTTGTTCTTAGGATAATGGTAAAATGTAAATTCACTCGACAAAGAGCATAATTATTATTGCTTTTAATTCTATTATTCAATACACCGCTTTTAAAATATAATCAAAAACTCTCAAGTATAAATTCAAAAGGAAAACAATGTTGTAACCGTTTTACATATATAATGGAAAAGGTGTTAATATATCTATAACTGCTAAAAGTACGCACGCTAAATTATTTATGACATCCCTCTTTTTGTATTGAATAATTTACACAATCATTCACGGTGGTGGCATTATTATTACTCGAAAATGTTTCTCTAGAATATACATTTCATGACATTTATAACATAGATACAAATCGATAAATTATTATTCGAAAATATTTCGTCGAAACTATGAATGAATAATTAATATAATAATACTAATTTAATTTGGGTTCAAAAAACTAGTCTGTATGTTAATTATTAAAAATTATGAAGTCTTACTTTCAATTGCAGCAGTTCATTTACCTATCTATTCTCGCCCTTTTATATTCAAAAATTAAATACCTACATAATTAATTTACGTTAAGCGGACGAGGAAGAAGAAAATTATTTATTTTATTTATTCCGATTTATTGATATATACTTATAAGTTATTAATATTCATTGTTAAATACTTATATCAATACAAATGCAATTTATTTAAAAAAATTTATAATGAGTAAAAAAAGTCAAAAATATATTTAAACACATATTTTAATATACAATGTACTATAACGTATTTAAGTTGTATAAAGTCAGTATTAAAGTGTTAAAAAAGTGTTTTACATATCCTATGGAAAATATCCAAAGGTCCATATAATTTAAATCGTATTATGCCTTATTATAGGTATTAATTTACTAATTTACTAACTTTTTAACTCTATTAAGGTTTATTGAATAGATATGTATATTAAGTCGAATCGCGTAAAACTTTTTACGGTAGCATAAGGTTGCTCTTCGCGAGAACGCCAATTTATTTTAATAGGATTAGAGGAAAAAAGCTCTTTATAAAGGAATCAATTATTATTATTAGTATTATTTTAATCCTGTCGTTCAAAGGGTGTCCTGCGATATAAATAATGAAAACGGATCACAAAACCGTTTATACCTTTTACAATACTATCGTACTGCAATGCGTTATATTTTACAGAAATATATTATATGATCTACAAAAATTACCATCATAATATAATATCATGTCAATCTTTCGCGTAGTGTAAAGATAAAAAATAAATAAATAAAATAACGAGATTTATGAACGCATTACCTCTGATCAGTCTCCGCAGTTCCTCCAGACCTTCGGCCCGGCGCTCCGGCGTCTCACCTAGGTCGTTTTTGGCGCACTCTTGGTACGACTCTTCGAAATCGCTGTCGTCCTCGAACCGCAATTCGTACCCGGAGCCCATTTTCACGACCGGTCCATACTTGTCCACTTCCATGATCGACAAAGTTTGTTTGTTTCTGTTTTATTATTATTATTATTATTATTATTATTTTTATTTTATTCTCTTAATATGGGCGATGAACGGGGTCCGTTTTACCTATAGCGTAGGTATGACCACGACAAAAAAAAAAAAAAATTCAAAAACGCGACGATACGTGTATAATATATCGATGTTTCGCGTTGCGATCCAAGAACGATCTATATATCGATCGTTGCGTAATTAACGAATTAACGGGCAGACTGACGACGGAATACAACAGATTTTTTTTTTTTTTTTACGTAAAAATCGCCAAAGATATTATACAGCGATCGTTCGACCTGCGAATCTGTACGTTTGTAGAGACCAACCGGTACGGCGCGTGGTGAGCGTGTACGAATGTGTGCAGCGTTCGGACGTTTAAATGTAAATGGAACAACCGCCGTGGCTATTATCATGGGTGATAGGCCTCGGTAAATAATATTATTACCTGTAAACTAATAGTACGTCTGATTGTGTATTTATGTGTGTTCGCAAGACGGTACTCCCGCCGCCGACCGCAATCGGACTGGTTTCGTAGGCCACTAGCGCCGGCGGACAGGTGGTTTAACGGTCAACTATTACGACAAATCTCGATTTTTAAACTATATTGTTTTTTATCCGTACACACTCGAATATTGCCGCTCGAAAATGTGTACAATATATTATTCGTCGTGTCGTGTAATATTATTATCTCGCGCGAGGAGGACTTAAGTTTATTACCGATGTCGGACATAAACGAATTTATCAGTTAAAAATTAAATACATTTTGACTTAACTTTTCTTCGTTTATTTTTTAACTCAATTACCACGAAACATAAATCATTTTGATATCAATTTTCACTTAATAAATAACGAATTGCTGTCGAATCCAAGCTACGTATATTTATAAATAACTGAATAATAATCATATTATAATTATTATTGTGAATGATACGCCCAAGGAAATTAAAAATGTAATTTTTAAATTTTTTTCTCGTTGTTATTAGTCAGGATTGTTCAATTGAAATAACTTAATATTGATAACATATGGACATTTATTTTAAACTAATGTATTCCCAGTTAAAATATTGAAAGAAAAAAAAATTAACTTTATTTAAAGCATCTAGACTTATGGCTAATCCCTATTAAAGTCATTTGAAAGTTTGGCCTATCATAAGCTAGACTAACTTCATATGAAAATAAGAATACCGATTATCGAGTTAATAGTAAATATATAACTAATTTTTCAATACAAAGTTTAGCATTAACATAAAAATTACTTTTGCGCGGTTTAAAATATTAACAATAAAATTTAATATTTAGACTTGATCAAAATGTATATATATATATATATTTGTATTTTAAAAATTACAATCTGTTATGCATGTTATGCAATATGTATTAAAAACTTGTGACGAGTGTATAATGGAAAGCTTGTAGTGAATTTAGTATCCATTAGTATCCAGTGAAACTTTTTCAACATAGTTTATCATTATTTTAAAAAAATTCAACATATTATTATTTTTAATAGTTTATAGATTTTTTATGAATTCATAAAAAAAAAAAATACTAGAACAAGTATATAACTATTAGTTTACATCTTCAACATAATATTATACTTGCACAAATACATGTTTTTAATTTGTTGTAATAAATAATATATACATATATTTAATATATTTATATACTAAATATAATATGTCACCTATATAAATGAAATGCACTTCTGTGAAGTTTCTGGTATGTAAGTAGTATAATTTCAATATATAGTATCACGAAAAAAATATGTAGGTAAGGTATATAATATAATTATATCAAATGTGACCACGTACATAAATGTATTTATTTTTTAATATTTGAGTAAACCAGCTATTTTACTTCGCAGTAGTCACACCGTTTACATCAGTCCTCATTTTTCAAACTGTGAGTGTTAGGTTACCTAGTTATAGGTTAACATTACTCAATCTAAAATTAAGTATATAGGTATTTGATTTTAATAGATTAGATAGGTACCAACAATATTTCATACGTTTCAATTGTTTTAAGCATTTGCCGACCATATCTAATTTATGTTATTATGTATACAATTATCTCAATTTTTTTTTAAATAATTAATCAAAATTATGAGGAAAATAGTAAATTTTAGTTAATTATTAAATAAAGTTTTATTTATTTTAATATTTGTTTTTTACGTTAATTATCATTATCATTTTACATTTCAAAAAATAAATGTCATAATAATATACACCTGTGTAATATTTTATAAATGATGTTTTTTCGATTATATTTCAACTATTTATATTATGAGTATTTATTATTCACGTGTTCATCTACATTAGTAGTGTTTTTTTTTATTTCTGTATTGAACCGGTAACGTTCTGTTATTACAAAATATGTTAATAGGTTAGTATTTTTTTTTTTTTTTATCAGAAGGTTAAAAGTCTAAAATCTTACCAGGTATATATATTACCTTATTAATATTCGTGATTCTGTTTTTAGTTATATAAATTATATTTGATAGTAAATATTATATTAAATATTTTATATTTGCTGTTAATAGTTATTAAATTCGATACCAACTTATAATTAATTTTAATATGTAGCAATTAGAAAATACTAAAAAGTGAATAGTAATTAATAAATTGGTATTAAAATTATTTGAAAATCTTGAAATAAATATTTTATTTTAAATCTATATTTATTTCAACCATTTTTAAGCCAGAATAAGTACCCTTGGTACTACATAGTTAAAAGTAAATTAATTGTAACTAGATTTATCTTTCTTATTCCTAATTTTTGAAAATGCCTTTTTTTCTCTGATATTTTTTCACAATGATATAAAAAACTAATAACAGTAGATACCAGATTTAATAATTTTAATTGAACACTATATATTATTATTTTTTTTTTTATTTTTTTTTTTTTAATGATTTATTATTGCTTTCTGATTTAATGTTAGACTAAAACTGTAACCTACACTGATTACATAGCAAAGAGAAGCAAGATGAATGTTAAAATTTAGTTAGTTATAGTATTCATATAAAATATTTGCATAAACTTATATTCGTTTAAATTTTAGACTGTACAACGTACATTTCATTAAATAACTATTAAACATGTTAATTAACTAGATAATGGACTACAGTACTAATATTACTTTTATTGTGCCATATTTTATTTATAAATATAATATATATATATATTTAATTCTTTAATATTATCGATTGTTATGTCGTCAGTTAAATCATCATAAAAATCTTGAGATATGATGTTCAAATTTTTAAGGTAAACCAAATATGCCTCCTAATTGATATTAAACAATATAGAAGAAGCTCTCAATGAGGACAAAATCACAATTTTCTACCAAAATTAATATTGTAAATAACTTTTAAATGTTATTTTAACATGTATTATGTATATCTTAAATTTATGTATTTATATATTTAAATATAATCAGCTGACTCACCAAACGTTGTTTTTAAAGTAGTTTAGAGTACTAAATTTCAGCAATTACACACATACAATTATAGTCACGAGTTCATAGATAAATTCCATTTTCAATATTTTTCAAAGTTTTCAATTTTTTTTTTTTTTTTTTTGTAAAAATGTTGTTAGAATAATTCTGAGCATTAATAAAAAATGAATCCATCCGTTTTTAATTAATGCACTTTCCAAACGAACAGCATTTCTTTTATATATATATATAAATAATATAAACCTGTAAGATTATCAATAATAAAAAAAAAAATAAAAACTTATATACAATTTATATGTTTCTATCTTTTGAAAATAATGAATCTTCTCACTTATAAAATATATCCTACATATATATACTATAAGTCCTTGTGTCCTACATACATTGTGCAATGATTCACTCACTGTTTATTTTCTTTGTATTGGTATATTTTCAAAAGTATAATAAATAGCTATCATCATAATAATAAGCTCTTGTTCAGATTAAATCGTCAGTTGAGTAAAACGTGTATTTTTAATTGTTATATAAATATATAATAATTAACATTTTATTTTCACATCGCACAAAAATATGTTTGCTACACAGCTGATAGGAAATTTATATTTATGTTTACATTTCTAAAACTGTTCACTTGAAGCCTTGAACAAATCAAACAAAACACAATAATAATTGTCATGTGATACATATAAAATATAAATATAAATTTTAGAACATAAAACTCATTACTCAAGTTATTGGTAAAATTTTATAAATATTTCATAATAACCTAAGCGGGACATTATTAAATAAGACTAATAGTATACGCATTGTAAACGAATCATATATTTATTTTAAACTCAAAGTACAAAATATCTGCACTTATTTTTGTTACTTTAATATATGATTATAGAAGTTTGAAATTTTATGTATATTGTAAAATTTGTAACTATGGTATAGTTATCACTTAACAACAAATTATTGTGTTTAAACATTACTCAAATCCAATACAAAATTTAAATATTCGTTATTAAACATTGTCTTTATAACAATAATACATAATCATCTAATAAAAAAAATTATCTATGCAATAGTATACCTCTGTTTAAAGAAACTATAAAATGAATGTTATGTAAATTATCTTAAAATATGAAAATATGAAAATATGAAAATGCCAATTTACCTATTACCTACGTATATAATATCAATGTAAAATACATTTTTTAATTCAAGTTAGTGTTGATTAATTTACAGTTAGTTTAATCATTCAAAATTACAAATATACACAGTTATTAATATTAAACTATTAAATTTTCGGTTTTTAATTGAAAATTATAGAATGAAATATTTGATAAAGCAGATAAGGTTTTAATGGAAATAAAAATCTAGAAAAAATCATCCTCGCTGTTTAGTTTAATATGTTAAAAAAATATGAGCTTATGAATGTTATATCTTCCGTAAATATTAAAATAATAATTCTATTTTGGTCATTGAGATTTATTATTTATAGGACTTAGGTCTCAAGCTTATGTCAATGGAATGACGTTTGAGGTATTAGTTATTTTTAAAATCATTAGATTTATTTATTTATTCAGTTATACTTTAGTATCAAGAAAATAACATCTAGTTTGGATAGTAATTCATTTTTAGTTTACATATTATGTCCAGAAACCTTGATTAAGTTGGATAGGTGACTATTTTTTTAATAATTTATTTATATTACTTTAGTTACTTTACCTAATACTGTATAGACGTATAGTAATACAATTAATAAATATTTTTTTTCACAATTTTATTATTTTAGAAAACAAATTAACTAAAAACTAATAGCTTTTTTTTTTTCGTTAATACATCATATATTCAGGAAGCTACAACAATCTGTTTCATTTATTAATATCTGAAGAATATCTCACTTCAATCACTCCAAAAAACCTTCTAACCAGTGAAAATCACAAACACACGAATACAACTGTAGAGATAACAATTTATATTAAATATAAACACCATTTC